GCTCTACCTAATACATAGAAACAAACACCTGGGAGCAGCCAAAATGTGGAAGCAAAGAAACATGTCACAAAGGAAAGAACAGAAGAAATCTCTAGAAGAGGAACTAAATGAAATAGATCCAAGCAAGGTAACAGATACAGAGTTCAGAATAATGGTTATAAGAATGCTCAAGGATATTAGTAAGAGTATGACAAAAATAATTGAGAAAATCGATGACACAATAAAGGACCAATTTGAAATGAAGGCTACAGGAACTGAAATGAAGAATAATTTACAGGGAATCAACAGTAGGGTAGAGGACGCTGCGAATCAAATCAGCAATTTGGAACATGAAGAAACAAAACACATTCAACCAGAAGAAGAAAAATAAAAAAGAATCCAGAAATATGAAGATAGTATAAGGAGCCTCTGGGACAACTTCAAGAGGCCCTTATATTCATATTATTGGGGTGCCAGAAGGAGAGGAAAGAGAGCAAGAAATTGAAAACCTATTTGAAAAAATAATGACAGAAAACTTCCCCTACCTGGGGAAAGAAATCAACTTACAAGTCCAGGAAGCACAGAAGGTCCCAAACAAGAGGAACCCAAAGAGACCCACAGCAAGACACATCATAATTAAAATGCCAAAGGTTAAAGACAAAGAGAGAATCTCAAAAGCAGCAAGAGAAAAGCATTTAATTACCTACAAGGGAACACCCATACGGCTGTCAGCTGATTTCTCAACAGAAACTTTGCAGGCCAGAAGGGAGTGGCAAGCAATATTCAAAGTGATGAAAAACATGGAACTACAACCAAGATTACTCTACCCAGCAAAGCTATCATTTAGAACTGAAGGTCAGATAAAGAGCTTCTCCGACAAGGAAAAGCTAAAGGAGTTCATCAACACTAAACTAGCACTACAGGAAATGTTGAAGGATCTTCTTTAAGAAGAAGCTAGTGAACAAAAGAATCTGATGAACTAAATAGATCCAGAGACACTGACGCATGTAATAGACGATCATATTTCAGAGGAAAGAGGGAAGGGGGGTGGAGGGTGGGAAGAGATTAACCAAAGAAGTTATATGCATATATGCATAATCCATGGACACAGACAATGATGGGGTGAAGGCCTGGGGAGAGGGTGGGAGCGAGGTGGAGGGGGTCAATTGGGGGGGGAAATGGGACACCTGTAATACTTTCAACAATAAAGATAAATTTAAATAAATAAATAAAAGAAAATTCAGGTTTAATATATATCATATATCTATCATCTATCTCTGTTATCTATTTATCTGTCTAACTGTGGCCTGGATCACAACAGTAGCCTCTTAAGTATCCTTCCCCTTTCCACTCTTGCACCTCGATGTTTCTATCACCAATCACTGCATGCAATATGTTCTAGTTATGCTAGACTTGTCGGTTATTAGAACAAGGCAAGCTTACTCAAATCTCACAACTTCAACTATATACATATATGGTCAGTAGAATAGGACTCCATCCAGTAATCGAACATGGAGGAGAAGCAAACAAAACATCAATAAATAAGGAAGAGGGTCATGGGAATGTCGAGAGAATACACCCTGGAAATCAGTAACCTGTTCATAGCCTCAGGGCACTGCAACTAGGACTCTGGATCCTTCTTTACAAATCCTAACATGAAAAATGTAACAGAATATTATGTTTCCAAGAAAAGAAGGTCCCTTTCTTGTCTAGGGTGTCCAAGTCTCAATTCTGAGCTAGAGATGACTTGGGAGGAAGAGTCTCCCAGGAAGAGGGTATAAACTGATGACTGGTAAGCTATATCTGGCACATAGGAAGGTTTCTTTAAATCCATGGTGTTACACAAAAATATTAGATGCCAATATTCAAAATCTAGGGCATTTCACATAAAAATCTTGATCTTCTGCTTTTCTTTAAAACTTGGGAAATTTGGTAATTCTTTTTGTTTTTACATTAAAATTTAATACTTTCATTTAACAAGAGGCACCATAAGAAAGTGAAAACCAATACCAGCAACAAAACAAGCCACTGACTCATTTGCAATGCATACAAGTGAGAGAGGATTAGTATTTCGTATATATAAAAATCCCTCCAAATCACTGTTTTTTTAATTGCAGAAAGAAAAATTTAATCTTTATTGAGTATATCTGCTCAAACAAACAAACAAATAAAAATTGAGAGTCTAGTAAGTGTCTCTCATTGTTCCCGATAAAATAAACATTAAGACAGGTTTTGCTTCTGCCTCCATGATTTAAAATATTTTCCCTGTAGTTAGAAAACTAAATGTAGGCAAAGTTGACCTCTGGCACTTTGTTCACTGTCTCTAAGAAAATGAAGTAATTCTTATTTGGAGTTGAGTGACAGCTCTCCCCCAGATGGGGCAGATGCCCCCCACCCACAGTTTGACACAATCCCACCAGTTCTACTTTACTTATTTTTTCTAATGTGCACCTTTTTTCAAATGTGAACAAGCATATGTTATAGGTTGGTGGATGGTGCTGAGCGCAAATACTTGCTTTAATTTCACATAGTTTAAACCGCCTTTGAGCTTTTCAATACTCAGAAAACCTGTGGGGCTCTGGTAGCAAGGGAGGCAGTGATGACTTAGCTGCCTTAATCTTTGTGTGTTACAACTTCTCAATTAGAAAGAACCACAGGTGATCAATGAAAATGATGACCATTCAGCAGACATCAGGCTTAGTGTACTCATAGGCTGGTTTTATAAAAGCTACCTTAGAGGAAGAACAAGACATAGGAGTAAAAGCCATGAATGGAGCCCATTCCCATAAGTATAAATGAATCAGTCTTTGTTTGAAGACTTTCTTCTCTTCCTATCTCTCAGAGACTCTGAGTGTATGTGTGCACGCGCGCGCGCGTGTGTGTGTGTATGGGGGCGTGGAGGTGGGCAGACCTGTATGGATTCTGCGGTGGGCTTTCAGGTGAGAGCTTTTGGTGTATACTTTGCTGCATCCTGCAAAGTCACATTGGTGAATCCGTCTTCTCTTCAAGTCAAGGGACTCTTCTCCCTGCATTTGGGTCATTGCTGCTGGTCTGAGCAAAACAAGAGAAATAAGGCCAAAGAATGATTTTAAAGTAAAGGCTAAATAAATGGATGTACATACAGTGGGAATGCTTCATACATGCATTTAAGTTATGCAAATTTAACACTAGGTCCTTAAAAGAAGAAATAATTAATATAGTACAAGCAATTCCCTCAACTAGCCCATTCTGCTCAGTAAGTGCAGGTTCCAGGAGGTGGCAATGTTTCCTTGGGTGGTTTCTGTTCCCAAACAGTGTGAGCATTTCACTCTAATAAGTCTCATTCTTGTTTTTAAAGAAATATATTTGTCATACAACATGGTTGCTAATACACTACTTTATTAGTTCCAACACTAGAAGACAAGGCTGCTTTAAACTTACAGAAAGAAACACTATGCAACTGTACTTTATAGGAAATTAGATTTTTAAAGGGTAAAACTGATGATCTACAATTAGAACATAACTCTGCCATAATATGCATGTCTATGCACATGTATGCACACAAACCCATACCTTTGCTGGGAAGGCAGTTTTCCTATATTTTGTTGTCCCCAAATTTTTACTATTGTGTTTGAGAATTTGTTCCATTTCTACCACAGACACACACATATATACACAGAAAGGGACTTGAAGTAAAGACAAAAGTACTCACTCTTGCTGTAGTCCCTGTAAGGCCAACGATCCACTTTCATTTGCGCTTTCCTCACTGTCACTTGGGATTTCCAGTGGAGACATGGACGTGGGGTCAACTTTCACTAAAAGCAAAGAAAAGGAGCAGTGTGGGCTACAAATATATGTGTCTCTGTCATCATTTTCAGTATTCCCAGTTTGGCCCACAATGAGAAGTAGCAGAAAGAGAAATAAAGAAAAGGCAAAGACAGAAGAAGTATATTTGTATAGAAGGAAGAGAAGAATATTTAAAATATTTAGCATAGCTGCAAACAGAAATTCTTTTGAGGGAAAGGTAGTAAGTACCATTCTGGTACCATTAGAATAAGCTTCTCTAGGATGGTGAGTGAGATAGGATAGTGGGTTTCTCTAGGATAGGGTGTGGTTACAGTTCAACTCTCTATCTCCAGCCCCCAGGAGAGGGTCTGCTTAAAAGTCAGGTTCAATGAATGTTTGTTGAATCATACTCTCTGAATAGTTCCCTGGCTGTCCTAAGATAAATGCCTACTCTCAGCCCAGAGGTAATAACACATCCTTTGGCTTTTGTGCTCCTAAATGAAAACAAGCCAATGAGAAGAAATGCAAACCTGGTACCTAGTAGGTGTCTGATACATATTACATCCTTCCCTTTCCCTCCATATGTTGGGAGAAGCCCTCAAATATTTATTATCAATTACTTGTTATCAATTTCTGACACCTAACAAAACTCAATCCTGTGGTCAGCAGGCTCCTCGATCTAGTAAAAGCTTCAAAATTTCTATATAGAAGAAACTTAAGGGTGGTAATAAGATTGAATGGGGAAGGATCTGGCTAGTGCAGTCACCTCCATACATTGATTGTGCATCATTCACTAAAAAGTTTTAAGCATAGCCCTGGCCAGGTGAGTCAGTTGGCTGGAGCATCATTCCGTACACCAAAAGGCTGTGGTTTTGATTCCCGGTCAGGGCACATACCTAGGTTCCAGGTTCAATCCCAGGTCTGGCGGGATGCAGGAGGCAACCAATTGATGTTTCTGTCTGTCTGTCTCTGTTTCTGTGTCTCTGTATCTATCACTCTCTTTCCCTCCTTTCCTCTCTCTAAAATCAATAAACATATCCTTGGGTGAGGATTTAAAAAAAGTTTTAAGTGTGCATCTCAATATATATGTGTTTGCATATGTGTTTGATATAAATGTATATTAAAATTTTGTGTACATTATGAAAATAAACAAAAAATAACATGTAAGGGGCGAGAAAATACAAATAGAAATTTTGATACTTTCTCCCTGTGCTCCAATTGTCTTGTGCACCTCTCTCACCTGAGGTGTAAGCATACCATTTTGGAGACCACTGGGCTAATAGTCTTAGCTTAGCATGAAACTACATAAAACACTTTTAAAATTTATTATTTAAATTGGCTCCAGTGGACTGATGGATATTATGGTGGGAATTCAAAGCCCCTTCAAACCATTCCTAGGTGCTACCACTGTCTTGATATCAGCAAATTCTCACACAGGGAATTTTATTTTTCCATTTCATTTTTTTGTTTGGCTCTCTTTCCCTATATAAGAATTTATAACCATATTTTAATAAACCTCTTCAGGAGATCTCAAAAACAAGACTGTTATGAATACTTACATTATCAAAATTAACCACTAGCCAATGGCAACATTTTTATTCAAAGAACACTGCAGAGTTTCAGCAACTTGATACTTAGTATACTGTTTTTCAGTATCCTACATTTAGTGATGCAATGATTACAAGGCATTGGATTTCAAAGGTCAAAAACTCTTAGGAAGTTTATTTTATATATATACTGAGCTGAAATCTGGTTCCTAGTCATTTCCACCCATGTCTCTCCCCTTTGGTCTTTTTAATTCAAGCTAAACATTTATCAGCTACTCATTTGACATGGATTTGAGTCCTCTCACCATCCTAATCTCTCTCCTCTAACTATACTGTAGTTTCCTAACATCCTTCCTAAGGCATAACATCCAAAACTGATTAGAATGCTAGATGTGGTGAAGCTGAATATCTTGAAAAACTTCAAGAAGCCTTACATTTTTCTTTGATCATTCCCAATTACAAACTAAAGTGGATATACTTTCAGGACGGTAACTGGGTGGGTGGGGGATAGTGGTGAAAGGGAGACTCACTTTATACCTTTTGGAATTCTGAACTTATTTTAAAAATTAAACAAAAGGAAAGATTACAGCATATGAACTCTCTCCTGGACAAATTTTCAAGTTTGTTCATCAAATTATTTGTTGTGAGACAACTACTATCTACCACTATGTTAGGTTCTCTGAAGACGCACAAAGAAAAATAAAATACAGTCTTGTCCTGGAGGAATTTACAATTCCGTGAGGAAGAATGCCCATGTACTTGTGATACCGGCGAGTAAAAAGTAAAATGGAGGGTGACAGGTGCTAAATGCAGAGGAACACAGGGAAAATGGCAATATTTCAAAGAAGACTTTTACCTGCAGGGAGAAACAAAGTACAGTGTTAGGAAAGGCAGGAGCTAAGTCTGGCTAAGTATGTAGGACTAGAAACATTCTCAACCTGTCCACCAAAGCATTCCTAATGGCCTAAAATAAATACACTCTCCTGGAAAATCCCAAGCCTTAGTGAGCTTAAAATCATTTTGAAAGTTTGTGTTTTATCTTAAAATGTTACTCAAATTTTATATTTTTCTCTTTAATAAAATCATATTTTTAAAATATAAAATGTTTTAAATTACTTACTCTCAAATAATATATAGGTTCCAGGAAGATACATAGTATTTCACTCAAGGATATGCATACCCCAGTCTGAGAAGCATGGACTAAACAAAAAAGAGTCACTGTACATTCTTAAGCATTGAAAAAGCAAGGTGCGTGAAAGATTATGCTTGAAGCTGTGTGCAAGGAGGTAGAACAACTCAAAACAAGAATAGATGACAGTAGCTAAGATCCGGAAATGGCCCCTGCCCAACAGTAGATGAGTGGATAAAACAGCTGAGAAAAATTCACACCATGGGATATTATGCAGCTGTAAGAAGAAGGATCTCTTATCCTTTGGGACAGCATGGAGGGACCTGGAGAGTATTATGCTAAGAGAAATAAGCCAGGCAGAAAAAGACAAATATCACATGATCTCACTTATATGTGAATCTAATGAAAAAAAATAAACTGATGAGCAAAACAGGTCCAGAGACATGGATGCATGGACCAGACTGAGGGATCTCAGGGCAGGAGAGGAAACAGAAGAGATTAACCAAAGAACACATATGCATATATGCATGGCCCCTGGATAGAGACAATGGTGTGGTGAAGGCCTGGGGTGGGGCAGGGGGCTGGGCAGAGGGGGGCAAAGGGTGGAAAAATTGGGGGCATCTGTAATACTGTCAACTATTAAAAAATAAGAGAGAGAATAGATTGATGAAGGTGAAGCCCAGGAAAGGGGCACCATGATGCTCACCTGATCCAGCATTTTTGCCATCTCCTCCAATGAGTGGGACTGTAATGGCTGCAGGGTTCCCATCTGCAGGCAAAGTAGTATACACCATGGGCAGCGATTGTACCACTACTGGGATGGTCTTCAGGCCACCACTCATTTTATTTGGCAGACTGACTGAGGGGATGGTGTGAATCACATGAAAGATCTGCTGGCCACCAGTGCCCTGAGAGGAGGCCAGAATAGAGCCTGGAGTCAGAACGGCAGGGATGTTTGCTAAAGTGCCTGTATCAGATGCCGAAGTGGACACTACAGGAGTCTGGGGAGTAGGCTGCGGCTTGGGAGGACGTATTGGAGCTTGTAGCATGCTGGCAGGTTGGAGAGGAGCCTTGGGCTTGTGAAAGGAGAGGTCTACTGGTTCCACCTGGGGCAGGCTGAAATCATTAGCCAGAAGTTCTTCTGGGGGCTCAATCTTGATGTCATTAAACAGTGCTGGGTTCTCCATGGGATTGGCATCCAGAAGTGGTAGAGATGTCATATTACCTCTGCCTGCTGTCTTTGGGGGATCTCTGATCTGAACAGAGCCAGTGACCTAAAATAAATTAATAAACAAATGAGAGATGCAAAACAGTCAGTGCTAGTGCCCTAAAGAAGAGACATGTGAGCAATGAAAAGAAGAAATCTCCATTCTCTTCTCATGGACAGAATATATAAGAAGCTGAAAAAAATGAGGCAGGAGTACACTAAAGAGGAAGAAGAAAGGGAAACTTTACTGAGCATCAGTACTAGGCACTGTATCAGGCAATTGATACAGATTGTTTTATTTGTGGAATTCTGAACTTATTTTAAAAATTAAACAAAAGGAAAGATTACAGCATATGAACTCTCTCCTGGACAAATTTTCAAGTTTGTTCATCAAATTATTTGATGACTCCATGATTTGTCCCACTGTTTCACATACTTCTAAAGTACTCCATCCCTCGTGGGTGGATGTACTCCACCCCGGTAAGGGAGCAGCTGAATCCTGTTGGTGGTGGGGACGAGGGAGGATATGGAGAGGAAGTTTTCAAAAAAATAGTTCTGTTTAACTTAAAAATTCCTTGTCCTCTGAATCCCCAAATCAACTTAAGCTCCTATTTTTTCCTACGTTTCCCATGTATCTCTTCATCTGGCTAGTCCCCTTCCCAGATTAAAGAGGCAGAATACTAGGAATCTCTAAGAAAGAACAGGAAGGAGTATTTGTTCTTATAGTCTTTCTATCATGACTGTCAATAATATTGAGAAATAAAGTTACAACAGAAAGCATAAGAAAAGGTTACGTGTAGTATCATTTTCTATAAGAATATAGGCTGTGAGTGTAGAGAACAAGTAATAAGCAGAACCACATGAGTGACTGATACAGATAATTTAGCATTCCAGGCGCTCAAGTGCACTAGAGATTAGTAAGAGTTGGGGTTATCAGTGAAGCTTTATGAAAGAAATGGAATTGGAATTTGGACTCTAAGGAAAGCGTGGGATTTGATAAATTAGATAGACTGATTGAAGCACATGCCAGGCAGAAAGAACAGCATAGGAAAAGATATCACTAAGAACCTTTCAGAAATGTATGACCCAAGTATATATATTACAGAGATATTGTTTATTTTCTTGGTTGTAATAGTGTTGATGTAGTTATGTAGGAGAAAAGTCATTATTTGTAGGTGATGCATGCTGAATTATTTAGGAGTGAAGTTTCTTGATGCAAATTACTTTCAAAGGTA